CTTCTTCATGACAAAAATTTCACTTTATTTGGGATATTCAGCTTCAATAGTCATCTCCAGACCTTGTTAAACTTCTAATGAGTGCTATATCGTATTAGTCTTTACCATGTCAGAGCACTAATTAGATGGTAATCACGTCTACATTTTAACCACCTTACCACATTCTAATGAGTGTGGTAAGTGGTTCTAGTTACCATGCTTTTACACCTTACAGCTAACAATTGTGCAAACGGTGTATTGCTTCGTAATGTTATCCTTCACATGACTGCTATTTTCTTGTTATTGTTACCTTATTATTATTATTGTTTTGGAATCCATCTTCTTCAGTTCCAATTTACTCCTGCAGATGCTCTGGTTGGTTTCACTTCAAGTCATATGACCTTGTTCATAGTTAAGCTATTCTATTAACCAATTGGTGTTTTTCTAATAGGGAGCCAATCTTGGCTTATTAAGCAAAAGAACCTATCCAGGTTACCTCAAGTGCTAATCAAATTGGATTTTGAAAGAAGAAATTGGAAAAGAATGGAAGGGAAGTACTAGCATTTAAAAACATCTTTTAAGTTTTGTTCAAAACAATAATGATCAAGTCAGTCAAAATTATCCATTTGGATAGATATCTCAATATTAAGATCTATTTTTCGGGAACCCTGTCCATGGATTTTAAAAATGGTTTAGTACTATACTGGGTGAGGCTCCACTTTAGTAATCTGGTTGGCCGTCATATAATCCTTAGTTGTGGGAATTAACTATTGTTATTTTGACATTATTTTTCCTTTTCATGAGATACTTGTTTTTGTCAATGAGGAAAAACTAACAGGTAGCTGAGGTTTCACAAAGTAGAAAGCACAAGCTAGAGCTTATGGTTTTTGATTCTGAAGATCTCCAAAAGCCTTGGGCTCAATGTGAAATAGAATTAGCCTCCTGTTGTTGTCAAAGTTTTGATGAATTTATTTTGTTTTACATTAGGACATTATAAAGTCTAGTTTTTGGATGATCTAGTGTTCAGTCAATGTAACCATCCTAACTTGTTGATTCGTTTTTTTTTCATCAACTACCTCTATAAACAAAATCTTATAATGGCGGTGCTGTTTGATACAGGCAATGGCCCAGGTGGGTGGCTTGGTTATGCTGCAACCTGAAGTGGGAGGCTCTCGTGAGAATTTCTTCTTCGCTGGAATTGACAAAGTCAGGTTTAGGAAGCCAGTAATTGCAGGAGACACTTTGGTCATGAGAATGACACTCATCAAGCTGCAGAAACGCTTTGGAATAGCAAAGATGGAAGGAAAAGCCTATGTTGGATGTGACTTGGTCTGTGAGGGTGAATTTTTGATGGCCACAGGCAGTGAATGAGTGTCTGTAGCCTGGTTGGTTGCAACCGTTCGGAAACTTGTATTTTCTCCTTGCTTCCTGCTTTCCGCAATTTTATGTTTTCCAAGAGTCTGGTAGGTAGCCGCTTTTTGACAATTACAGCGACTCATTTGTATCGCATTTTAGATGGTATCTGCAGCATCTAGTAGAAGAACTCCGCTAAAATCTGTTGAGTATATTGAAGACAAATCCAACAGTTTCTACATTAGGTAGATGGAGTTGTGACTGCCTGTATAACATAAAAATTCAAATGTTTTTGAGATTCAAAAAGCAGAGTTGGAATCTTCTTTGTTCAGCAGCTCGCATTTGTATGTTAGCCCAATCTTTAGATTTTTACGCCAATGCTAAAGATGACTTGGTAGGTGGCATATCTTTTGCACTTATAGTTGGTTAACTAATCACAGGAATACAGGTAATTCCCATATTTGCTTGTAGCATATTTAAGACTAATTTATCTTTGCCTGATTTACAGACATATGCAAAACAGTTTTCATTGACTGTCTAGTACAATATTGCGGATCCATACGGCAGGTTGCACTTTGCTTAAATGTTGGGGGAACGGAACATTGCCAAAAAAAAAAAAAAAAAAAATTGAATTATCGTGGAGGAACTCTGCTCTGATTTCTTCTTTCTACAGGCAATCAGTTTTTACATCATTGTTGGAATTATACAGCTGACAAACCAATAGCCCCAAGGGGTGTCTTTCCTTGGCCTGCCTCAAAGTAGAAAATTAGCATAGCTACCATGGCAAGTCTTGCATGCTTAATCTCTGCTAACTTTAGTCTCTCAAGCTTCTCAGTGTCAGGAATGTAAACTCCATCCCTGAGTGTTCCAGCAACTCCCAATGGGTCGAAGAATTTTCCGCCAGGATAGCCTTGTTCACCAGTAGCATTTGCGAAGTTTTCAGCCGTTCTAGACCATGGTGTGGCCCATTCTACAGATTGTGAGTCAGGGTTGAAAAAATCAACCCATCTTTTGCTCTCAACCCACCCCATGAGTAGGAGTTGAGTACCGAGGAGCGAACCAAAGGAGAAGGGCGCAATGGCACCAGGGTCAGCGCCAGCTTGAAACCATGGGATACCACTCCATGCCTGGCCAACAAAGATTCCAACAACTGCAGTCATTGCCCATCTGCCATGAATGAGCTCAGCTTCTCTATACCATTTCAAGAATGCTGGATCCTTGCCAAGACCAAGTGGATCAAAACCGTAGTCACCAGGGAGCCTGCGATGCATAGATGCAGCTAACATAAATCACATGCTATAGGAGACTGGGTAGAGTGGGATGCAGGGAGTAAAAAATATATAGCAGGAGCACGAAAAAGTTTTTCTTTTTTTCTTTTTTTTTTTTTTATAAATAAACTAGAAATGTTAATACAGCAGTTGCCATAACTCTAGCAAAAGAGGTAGTCAAAGGGAGAGAGTGAAAGGTTGCTTACGAGCCATCGAGATGCTCGGGGTCAAGGAAGCCTGGACCAGTTCTAACACCAGGAATCCATGACTTCTTGGGAGGACGAGCAGCTACCACAACTAATCTCTTTGGAGCAACAGCAGCAGCACCACCGACTCTAGCTGCAGCTGGTGAAGCCAGCAGGGCCTGACTTTTCCTTCCACCAGTCAAGAAGGGAGAGCCCAATCCATTTAGTACTGCAGCAGATGTGGCAGCCATAGTCTCGCTCCCTTTTACTTGTTACCCTTCTCTTACTTTGTGCAGAAAGATTAGCGGTGAACGGTGACACCAAAATATTGTTGGTCTCAAGTTTGTTGGCTACTAAATGCAGACTTGGCTTGTTATATGGTCATGGGGAAACCTGAGAGGGTAGGGGGAGGATCAAAAGAGGAGCTTCCTGAGGAGCCAAGTAGGATGAGTGAAATCCAACATCTCTGTTGGATAGATTTCGGACCAATGAGATGATGAGCTCCATCTGCACCCACCGTATTTGTCTATTCCACGTGGACCATTCATTCTCCTCTAGTTTTATAGTTAACGCAGTTACTGCTAGATGAATTGAGCTCCCTAAGCATCTAAGGAGGATACTTCGAGATTTTCTCTCTGATCCTCAATATTGTTCACAGGTTTTTGTGATCTTAAAACATGATTTCGTAATTGAACAATCATAGCATACAAAAGCGTGCTAAATTTGAACGTTGGAAGCAACGCTAACAAATATTCTTTTCTGATAAGAAGAAATTGGCCTTTAAAACATTAACATTTCCAGTCAAGCAGTGAAAATGTTGTCGTTAAAAATCATTCCTGATTTGTGATACCAAAGCTTTGCACGCGGGGTCAAGATTTAGCAGAAAAAGTGACGGTAATTAAGTGTTCAAACAAAACCAAAAAAATTAGACTAAGAACTGTAATGATACTCTTGCAAGGTTTTGGAGTGGGTTTGTTCGTGGCACGGTCTATGGATGATCATGAAGCAACGTTACTGCCCATTATCAGATTATTATACGACTGCAAGATTCTAAATGCAGTAACCCTCTCTGTTTCCTTGATTAAAAGAAAAAAAAAAAAAAGGCCATCTCTGTTGTAAAAGAATTAAGGATGGAATGATGGATCAAGCACTCAAAACTCATCAAGAAAGACTGCAGGAAGATTTCAGCCTGTCCTGTAAGAGTTTTCGTAATGCTGATATTCTAATATTCTTTAGTCAGAACAGAAGAAGACATCATCCCTGCTGATTACTCATTCCTGATTCCTCCATGGGGTACTTGAAAAACAGCAATGGTCACATACGCAACTTACAACAGAAGGGCTGCTCTTCCATGCGATTCAGACAAGTTTTCATTGTCTCAAAAACTTGCATGATAAAAAGCCAAAAAAAAAAAATACAAAGAGTTTCGTATTTTGTACTAGTTCTAAACCAAAAAATGAGCAAAAGCAAAAATAAAAACACTCTGCGTCGTACTAATTTTTCTTTTACTTAATTGTCGCAACTCTCGTTCGGAATTCTAATTGCTTCGTGTAATTTACTCTTGGAGGAGTTGAAGAATCCTCATGATGCACGAAACGAATCTTTGCTTTTCTCTTTCTATTTCTTTCATATGTCACCAAGTCATTTTATTCTTTCCTTACTGTTGTTTTAAAGCTATACTGATGCTAACATTCAAGGATCACGGCAATTCCTTCTTGCCTCCATCAAGAACTTATCATGTCAATGGCTTGCTCCAGTTACCTAGCTGATGCTTCGCTTTACTTCTAAATCTAATTCAAGAAAGACCCGGCCTTTTTCCCATGCGGGCTCTGTTTAAATTGCATCTCAGGCACAGTATTGTTAACAAGGTTGAAACTGAAGCAGGGCAACGGAATACCTTGGCTGGTACAAAGGTAAATAGCAACAGATGAATGGCCCTCTGTTGTTTGCCAATATTCATCGGTTTAATACTTTAGTGCAAAGGCAAGCTGCGATGCATAATCCTATGGCAGTGCAAAGCTAAGCCTATTAAGTTCCAAATGGGTAAGAACAGCACTTCAAAAATTTGAAGTACGCAGTGTAATTTACATTTGACCACAGCTATGTAAATTACTGAATGGTCAACTCGATTCAATTTCTATTCGTCGTTTCGTAGGCATTTTAGAAGTACCAGCAATTTTTAATTCTTCCCTTGCACTATCCTCTCAAGTCTCAATCCACAGCCCCACAACCACTAGCAGTTTGATGTTGTCGCCACTCGCCACCGGCTACTCACTCAATTCTCAATAGTTCCATTGTCAATGTCAATTTCCTCACCTTTAAACCAAATTTAAGGCCAAATTTAAGCCTTGAACCATAGAACAACCTTCAAAGTTTTCAGCTTTATGACCTTGTCCATTTCTTAATCTGGAATGATGGCTGATTGCCTCTGTAGCATTCTCAACTCCCGCGCTATCACCAGCCTCTCCCTCCTCATCCCTCGCTGTCCACCTCAGAATCCCTTTATTTCCCTCCCAGCTCTTTCCTTTGCCAACCCCAGGGTTCCAAGAAGAAGGAAAGAAAAGCAACTTTTGTTCTGTATAAGTAATAATGAATCCTCGTCCTCAATTTCTTCCTCATCGAAAATTGACATCATTTCCACCCGTGGTACTGGCACTAAATTTGCTCTCTTTCCCCACTTGTGCGTTTACCTATCCTTCTATGTCTTATTGGGCTTTTGGATTTAGATTAATTTCGTCTTTCTTTGTGTGTCTATGAGTCTATGATTATTTGTTAAAGTTAAGGGCTTTGCAGTTGCTTCTTTATCTGATATAGTATCTGTTTGGTTTGTATTTGTGATTTTGTGGATTTTTGTGGCAGAGCATTCTGATGGTAGTATAGTCTTTCAGTTTGGGGACCCCCGTGAGGCTATGAAGGATGATGAATTAAAGCAATCCAGTTTGAGCAATAAAGGAGGGGAAAGTGACGGTCAGGTGGAATCTAGGGTGGTGAAGGTTTTGGATGGTGATCACGAGAGGAAGGTTATAGTCAAAAAAATGGAAAGAGAAGTCAGGGTTCACAGCTCAAATTTGGTCGCTGATAGTGGCACTTCAGGGGTTGTTAGTACTAATGAAGAGAGCAGTACTAGTAGTTTTCTGGAAGGACCTAGTAAATCAAGTGAGAAGTTAAATGCTGAAGTGCCTGTTTCTGGTTTAAGTGTAGAAAAAGTTTGGAACGTTTCTAGTTCCGAGTTAAATGCAAATACTCTTATAGATGCCGATGATACTCTGTCAACAGTCTCTGTGCTTGAAAAACGTAGTAAAAAAGGAAGTGGCGAAACTTCTGAGGTATTACTTGATGGTAAAGGAGATAATGAAGTTCTGCAACAGTTGGTATCTGTGAAGCCTGAGTCGCCTACAGAAGTAACAGATACTGTTCACCAGGAAAGTGATTCCGAGAGTGTTGAACTTCTGGATTTGCCTGGAGATAGTGAGTCTCATAGTTTAGAATCTGGGATAAATAATATAATCATGGATGATAGCAGTGACAATGACACCATTGAAGTCATGCCTGTGTCTCCTCAAACTGATGCTGAACCAACTCTTGATGAGGAAGCTGGTTGTATTGCAGTTGACACTTTTGGAGAAGAAGATACATCCATCCAAATATCAGAGGTCAGCTATGCATTTTATGTTGGTGTTAATATGATCACAGATGCATGTCAATTTTTCTGTTCTCTGCAAGTGTTTGGTGATTTGCATGACATGAGGAAATGGTGAAATTTTTGTTATTGGCATTGGATAATTGTTTGGTAAGGTTTATGTTAATTTGGCTGGCTTTCTTGTAAAGTGGCTGGGAACCCAGGTATGACTAATTAAAGTATGCAAGTCATAAAACTGAAGCATGTTGAGTGTATTGGGAGGTAGCTTGTATCATACATGCGTTTAGTTTTATCTACCTTTTGAGTTTACTTCTGACTACACATGCCCCTCCCAATATCATTGCTTAAAAACATGAATTGTCAACAATAACAACCAGTTTTGAGAGCAACATACTTCTCATTTGTGATTATGATAGCTGAATTTCATCCTAGTTTACACGCTTTGGCAGATCAAAAGTGACCAGTCAATCGTACTCTCAGAAGCAGGAATAGGTCTGGACAAGTTACAAAGAAGTGACAATTCTGAAAGATCAAGTCTTGAAATCATACAATTGGAATCCCCGGAAGTTCCAGTGGATGGGTATCCCGCTCAATCTCGCTTATAAGATGCTTCAGTTATCCATTTTTGTGCTCTTGTGTTAACAATTTGAACGACTATCTTCATTAATAAGATGTCCTTTGTAGTCAATATAATGCTGGGAAAAATATGAACGGTATTAGGAAAGACTTTCTTCTTTAGGAAAGGAATTATCCAGTTTGTGAATCAGTTTTTCTTTCCCTAGTGAGAACCAGTCATTGCATTTCCCTCACTATGAGCAATTTTGACATTTTTCCGCATAGCTTTGGTGCTGCTTTTACTAATATTGCCCGGTTGATGTTTCAGAAATCAGAGAGTTGTATCTTGGGTTAAATGAGCATGTAATTAATTATGTTTCTTCCTTTTTTTTTGGTTCAATTCTTAACAGTGAGGAAATCCCCATAGCAGAAATTGTTTTATCATCTGCTGCTGCATTGTTGCCACATCCCGCTAAGGTACATCTTGCATTTACACAATCTGGCGACAGTTTATGTTTTAAATTAGAAGAACAATGTTTTGGTTTTATATCTGAACATCACTTGTTAGGTCCTCTGGATAGCCCCTTTTAAGTGGTTTTCTGTTTGCAAACCTCCATGGCATTGCTTTAAAGCACGTTCCTGGTTTGGCAAAGAATTATCTATATATAGTTAGGAAATTATAAAGGGAATGAACTGCTGCGATTCAATCAATTATAATTTGAGTCCCCATTGGTTCTTTCTGGTTCTCGAATGTCTTGGCTTTAGCAATTGATTGGAACTTTTAATAGAATAATAAATAAGTTATTAGCCTGTCTTTGTTATGATAGTAAACTTTGTTATGCAGTAAGTGATTCAATAGAAAATAATTTTCAGCTATTGACGGGTGGAGAGGATGCATACTTTATCTCTGGCCGATATTGGTTGGGAATAGCAGATGGGGTTGGCCGATGGTCGGATCGCGGTAAGCTCCCTATTATTATTTTGCACTGTTTGCAGAACCTGTAATGAGTTGGCTTCTTTTTTTTTTTTTTAACTTCTAATCTTTTTTACTGGTCTCTCTCATATGAACATGTGATCACTACAACTATTTCTTCTAAGGCAATTTTTCAGAGTTTTCAAGACGGCTAGTTTTGCCTCTGCAGAAAGAATAATGCAGTGTCGTTTGTCCAAACAGCTCAGTTATCCAGTTGAACAAGAGCAGCCATGTTTCTTCATGGAATTTTTATGGAATTTCAATTGAGAGTTGAATCAGTTTATGTCTACTTGTTCAGGTATTGATGCAGGAGTTTATGCCAGGGAACTCATGGAGAATTGTGAAAAGATTGTCTCAGAGGGCAACGGATCCATAACTATAGGAAGAGGAAGAAGAAGAGTAAGAGTAAGAGCCACCCCAGAAGAGGTCCTTAGTTTAAGTGTTGCTGAGTCCCAGTCTCCTGGATCCTCAACTGTGTTGGTTGCTCACTTTGATGGTCAGGTATAGTGTCTCATGACTTCAGAGTTTCTTTCTGGCTTAACTTTTGCTGCCTGTGATATATAGATCCTGAATAAGAATTTGATCTGTCGTATTTTCCTCACACTGTTCCTTCAACTGATAACACAGTTTGCACTTAATCGCAAGTATTTAAACATATTAATTATACATTTATGAAACCCATTTGCCAATCAATATAAATTACCACATAGGGTCTACACGATTATAAGTCGATCATGACAATGTACAACGTACGTAGAATGGCCCCAAAATATGACACGACTCAATTGCCATACAAGTAGATGTAGCATCACATCATACCTAGTTTATAAAATATCTAATGATGGTGATGGAATTGATATGGATATCCATTCCCAAAGAACTGATTTTGCATCAGAACTGATGAGCATATTTGCTTCATAGTTGTAATAAGCCCCAACTGAAAAATGCTTTTCAAGCACCTCTGGAGCTGATCTGATGTTAACTTGTACTTGCTGACAGGCCCTTCATGTGGTTAATATTGGAGATTCTGGATTTCTAATACTCAGAAATGGTGTGGTTTTCGAAAGGTCACATCGGATGACCTACAAGTTCAATTTCCCATATCAGATTCAAAGGGGCCATGACCCATCCGAACTTTTGGAGGTGTGTTGTTGCAAACTCAATCCTTCTGATACATTAATAAATAGCTGTAGATATCCACAACAACTCGATGAAAGGTAAGTTTTGAATATGTTCTGCTTCAGGAGTACGAGATTGAATTGGAGGAGGGTGACGTTATCATTATTGCAACAGACGGACTCTTTGACAATTTGTATGAGCAAGAGATAGTATCAATAGTCTCAGCTTCATTGAGCGCTGGTAGACGACCAAAGGTCTGCTGCATCTTGATCAAGATTTCTGAGTTTTGATGAGATCCGGACAGAAAAATTAGCTAATCTCTCTCTCCATGCTCCACCACTTGCAAATTCGGCATTGTTTTAGCATGAAATGACCCATGAGAAATAGCTCCCTCAGCTGTGACCCAGTCAAACTGAGTGCGTTAGCAAGAGGGCCCTTCATTCTCTTTCTCCGTTGTTTGTCTTCTCTTATGCTTACCTGGGGAGAGGGGGAGGGAGGTGGCTGCTTGGGGCGTTTAGTAGGGAACCGACCCAACTCCGGGCCGCTCATTATTCAGCATCCTTGTGCAATGCAATATCACGTAATTTCCCAGGGCACACATTTGCAAGCGTTGTGGTTCCTGCCAATTTGTTTAACCTGCAACTGCATGCTTGTGAAACATTCATTGTACGACCTAGGATTTCATTTGCGACACTTCCACGTTCCATTCAAGGTTCTTCACAGTTTCTTAGCATGCTCTGATTCTGTTCAATTCAATTGGTTTAGAGAATTGCGGAAATGTTGGCGGCAGGAGCACAAGAGGTGGGCAGATCCTCTACCGAAAGAAGTCCGTTTACCGATGCAGCTCGCGCAGCTGGCGATCCAACGCGCAAAGGTGGGAAGCTTGATGACGTAACTGTGATTGTATCATTGGTCCGAAAGGAATACAGCAGCCATGGCCATGTGTTGCGATCTTGATGTTCAACAACTCTAGCTTCTGTCATCATCATCATATCATGTTGTATCATATTCAAACTGACATCAAGAAAACTCTCTGTGCTGTTGTGGTGTATATAATCCTGAAGTAGTTTTCCATAGACAGATTATTGATAAATAGCACGATTGATTGGCTGTATGTATAGCGCAGCGCACGCATAAACGTTTCTGGAGAGTGGATTTCATCTGTATACCCAATAATAATAAAGTATTCTGTTCTAGTACATCATCACCATTGATTTTCAGACGCTAAATGATGTGGGCCAGCGATCAGGAGACTCCGAATTGGAGACTAACATAATACATCGCTCGAAAAAAAAAAAAAATTTATGATTGCGCATGAAATCGAAAATCGTGTAGTAGGTAGAATCTTATCATGCATTTTCTCCTTTCTTTTCCGGCCACGGACTATGAAAAGAAAAGAAAAGAAAAGTAAAACACATGATGGTCCGACGACGCAATATTTCATGGCAGGCAGGCAGGCAACCGAAAAGTGAAATTACTTTGGTGGACTTGGGCCCTTTTAGCGTTCGTGATTAACGGTTCGGAATCGGAATGATGAGCTGCTGGAATAAGGAGGTTGTTCTGGTTTCCACTTTCCCAGGAGCCTCCGCACATCCAGCAAAAAAGTCCATAATCCACATCCCACCAAGAAGAGTACAGGTATGTCAAGCAAAGCAAAGAATGATTTCCTGTTTCCCAAACAAAGATGCCAATCTTAAATTTGACCGTTTGGGGATCCATCCATCTCATCTGTTGCCTTGTTGGCAGTGCATGGCCCGGTGGAGGTCCGGAATAAAGATGCATTTCCTTCTTGTTTACGAACAAGTAGTAGTAGTAACTCATGAGATTGGCATTGCACGCACGCGCCATAATTTCAATCGTGATAATCATATCGGTGGCCTGTGCATGGTGGGGAAAAGGAAGAAGAATGAAAATATGAGAGCAAGCCAACCAGCCCCCCCCCCCCCCCCCCCCAAAAACAAAAAAAAAAAAGGGACGAATTAAGAAGAAAAAAGTTTGGAAAGAAAAGGGGCGCACAACTGCACAACCCATGAGAAAAGGCTAAAACTTGTCATGATTAAGAAAGGTGGACTTTTTAAATTTACCCATTCAGACCGACTGGCAGAGGACTAGCACCATCATGTCATGTACCATCAAGCATTCTCTGTCAAAGGTTTCAAGAGTCAGTCAAGAACAGACCTTTCATGAACGTTTCACCAAATTCACACGTTCAAATCTTTTTATGTGCGGGACCAACTATAAGGCACAAGGAGTAGAAATGCAGAATACAACCACTGAGTTTGTTTGGCTCAACGGTTCCTTGAATGGCAGATGGGAGTTCAAATTTTACTTACAAAAAGAAAAAAATTAAAAGATTGTATTATAGCACTCTCTTGATCTAATCAGGTCTGAAAATAAAAAGGGATGTAAAAGAAATAACAACAAAGAAAGAAATGTGCTATCAAAATAAATTGATCCCTTTCAGAAACAAACATATAATAATACAATGTCCCCGGACTAAGATCACTTGCCAATTGGAGTGACCTTTTCCCACTGGCCACTGCTTAAGCATGAAGAAGGGCCAAATTTGGAATCTTCTTGTGAAGTCTGTAGGACTTCCATGATTTTATTCTGCATTTGAAAGTTAATGAGTTGTGTGAATGCATGGGGTGAAAATGATTAATGGAAACTCTTTTTTTTTTTTTTTTTTGGTTTAATTCAAAAAAGTTTGGATAGTTTTAATTCAATAGTTTTAAGCATCAATTTGAAACATTATTGACAATGTTGAATATTTGCTTGTCATTCAAAATATTTGATTAGGCTATGGGCTTTCGAGACAAATTCACCGCCATCCGTCACAAAACGGGTGGTTAATATTATATTAATATAAAATAAAGTGAAATGGGTGTTTTATTTGGTGGTAGCGGGAGTGTGACATTATTGTGGAGACTGAGATTTGACCAATTTGGCGGATGCCAAATCAAATTCAACATGCGCCGCATAAATGCTAGTAAAATAAGGTACTGAGATAAAGGGCTCGGCGTTGGGGGCCCAAACCCAATGATTAATTCCAGAATGAGCATTCCATGATCTTTTATGCTAGTAACAAAAAAGGGTGCGAGTCCGCGTTAATCTCGCTTTAAAGTTATTTTTTTTAAGGCCTAGCTTTTTCTTTTTGGTTAAACCCCTAGTTTGATTGCAGTTCTCCGACAAAAATTTTTTTATGTTTTTTATAAATATATTTTTCAATCACTTTTTTATCTCACATAAATGCATTTTTCAATCACTTTTTTAATTCGCATGCATCAGATTGTCGTGATACATTTTTTTTTTTTTTAATAAAAACTCCAAAAAAATAAACAGAATCTAAAAGGGCGTGACATGTTGCAGCACAAGTGGCAATTATGCATGGGCCTTGCTGTTTTTCGAAGAAAGAGGTTAGCAATAGCATCAAATCTTTTCCATATTGCATGCTTGGGCTGGGGGGGGGGGGGGTGGCGTTAGCTTTATAAGGGAGATTTGATGGCAGTATATGTTCGGGGCAAATGTTTTGGGCGAGTGTGACGAGGAACAGTGGAGATTCTCTTCAATTAGCTGCCTGCCACTTGGCAATTTCTTTCCCCTGAAACAAGAGGGCAGGTCAAAGTTAACCATTCCGTAGCACGAATTGTGGTGCCTTTTGTCCCCAGTTCAACTTCAGCCCGTCCAGTAAATGTAGTGCATGTTTATATTCGAATCCAAATTACATTTTGATTAAGTAAAGCAAGTGAAGATTGTCGCCGTGTTGCTCTTCGTAATGACCATCTCGTTTGACTGATTTTGACTAATGCGCTTAAACAATCCTCCATCTTTCTGTCTCTGATTATCCCTTTTTTGGTTAATTGCAAAATACCCCCTTGAACTTTCTTTGAGTTACAAAGTGTCACCCGAACAATCTATTTCAGCACTATACATTCTCCCATCTGTCAATTATTTCGTGATCTACTTCAATCAATTCGTGATGTCAATTATTTCGTGATTATCAACTCGTCCCCTAGGAAATTTAATGCGTAAAAAGTTCTTGAGATTATGTATGTGACAAAAATGTCATTTTACCTCCTCCACAGCCTAACATAACCTCTGTGTATGTGTATATATATGATTCATGTCTTTTACATGCAGAGAAATATGTTGAATTTGTGTGGGAAAAGAAAAGAAAAGAACTTCCGATATGCCTAAATAACTCGTTCGTAGAGAGATCGGCATTTTGTCCACTTAACGAAATCCATGAACATCATAGTCCAAGGGCAATTTAGCAATGTGAAGAAAGTTTAGAACGATAGTTTGCAATTAACCGTTTTGCCAAAGTATGTTTATACATATGTTTATGTGATATAATCCCTTTTGTCAGTCTCAGTAAAAATTTCAACCATCTTTGTCATTGTGATGTTAATGAGTATTTTAGATATAAAGTTCAAAGTGTGGGTTAAGAACTTGGGACTACTACCACTCCTCACTATTTTTCCAATCCAACGGTAGTCAACCCTAGTTCTAGGGTTACAAATGAGTCGAGTCGAATCGAATTTTGATTTAATTGAATTAAGTTTTGGCTTAATTATATCAAATTTAATATTTTTTTAGTTCGAGTTCGAGCTCAAATTCAATTTGGCTAGATCGAGCATATATTGATCGAATTCGAATCGAATTTTGACTTGAACCGCTCACAAGTAACTCGATTCATTTGCAATCCTATTCAGGCGCTAATTACCCTTTCTACTCTTAAATGTTGTCCTTAGCAAAAAAAAGAAAAGAAATTACCACTAAAAACGAAAAGTATTTTCTTCCAATTTGCAAACAAACAAGCCATCCTGGTACGTTTGGACATGAACCGAAACTTTTCAAAACTCAAAGCGATTCCAGTGGCACAATCCCAAACTCCAAACGTTAAATTGGACCACCCACTTCCCTTTACCCCACCACGTGTCCCCGGACTGTTATTCCCACGCCACACATCCCTCCATCATCATATCAGACCCATTTTCTCTTCTTCAAAGCCCAAGAGTTAAAACGGCAAAGGGCCCCACGCCAACCCTCTTTATGACTCCTATATAGCCCCTCGGGACTCCAAGACCGTCTCGTCTCATTAGTCCACTGCTACTCCCCACTGCCGTATTTCCCTCTGCATTTCCTTAACCAAAAAGCAAGGACCAAATCCCACTTGAGATTGAGAAAGAGAAAGATAGTACTAGTACTTCAAAAAGAAGAAGAAGAAATATGGCTGTTTTGACAAGGGTTATGAAGACTATTGCTGGGCTTTTCTTGGTTGGTCTTGTGCTGGTCTCAAATGCGGTGGCGGTGTCCGCCGGATCCGGCCATACTGCTCCGGCCCCGGCAGTGGACTGTTCGAGCTTGGTCCTTAACATGGCTGACTGCTTATCTTTTGTGACCAGCGGCAGTACGGTGAAGAAGCCGGAAGGAACGTGCTGCTCTGGCCTCAAAACTGTCTTGAAAACTGATTCAGAGTGCCTTTGTGAAGCCTTCAAGAATAGCGCCCAACTGGGAGTTACCCTTAATGTCACTAAGGCCCTCACTCTCCCATCTGCTTGCCATGTCTCTGCTCCCTCCGTCAGCAACTGTGGATGTAAGAATCATATATCCCTCTTTTTTTTTTTTTGGGGTAGGGGTGGGGGAGCGTCATGTTTCTGTCTCTCTGTTTTCACAAGGGTCGTTTTTTATTTGCTCCTTCCAGTGGTTTTTTTTTTTTTTTTTTTGGGTTTGGGGAAATTTGTGATTTTAATGTTGTGCTGTTTTTCACTCTTTTATTACAGTAAATGTCTGGTTTGAAATATCTGATATTGAATTTTTGCTCTGTTTTTCTGATTACACAACTTTATCCCTTTTAGTTCCTTGGGTTCATGAAGTGAACATTGTTTAGCATCTCCGTTTCTCATTTTGGCTATATTTGACATGATTTGTTTGGATTGCTATTTTTCGTCGAAAAAATTTTATTGTTTTCTGTAATCATATTTCCTTATTATCCTTTTTCCTTGTTATCTTTAGCATCTCCGTTTCTCATTTTGGCTATATTTGACATGATTTGTTTAGATTGCTGTTTTTCGTCAAAAAAAAATTTTGTCAATTGTAATCACATTTTCTTATTATCTTTTTCCCTTGTATACGATTTGGCAAATTTGTCAAATTGCTAGAGTAATTTTTTCATGAAAAATCATGAAAAATGCAATCCAAACACAAAGATTTATCAAGTTGTAGAGACGTTGATTTTTGTTTTCTCACTTTTTTTGACTGCAGTGAGCATTGGCTCTGGAGCTGCTCCTGGTACGTATAATAGATCTGCTATTTCTTCGACTGATTTTGCACTTCTTAGTCCACTTTTTTGTTATGATTTCTGCACTTCCTATGAAGCAAGTTGGAGGAGCTGTTGCTAATAATAAGATGGAGTATATATTTTTTTGGACCATTATGAGTTTCATACTAGTTATTAATTTATGAAAATGGGAATGTTGTTGTTGCAAAATTAAATTCATCAATCTGTGCAAATAGAAACAAAACTAGTTGTTTAATTGCCCTGAACTATCAATTTCAATCTTCAAAGCTTATGCATTCGGGATGCTTATCACTACCATCTGTGTCTTGTTAATAGACTATATATTTTTTGTTCGGAAAGGGCTCATCTGGAAAGAAGGTTCACTATTAGTACGTTTTTTTGGCATTTCCTGGTACAATTCAGTCCACGTGACACTCTGTTTCCCTGTCATTCATTATTACACCTTTTTGCGTCTCAAGATAAAAATATGGTCCCCGTTTTGGTCAAAATAGGGTTTCATGTGATTAATCAGTAAGTATGATACTGGCATGTCAGCAATTACCTAGGGTTTTAATTCTTGATCGCCTAACTAGAGTACAAAATGATCTCAGGGGATGAACTTCTAAATGTGGTTATCCCGATTCCTGTATGAATGAAAAGAACGCAACCATCATCAATGAGAATTGGCTTAGTAGAGAATTTTACCAACATTTGTGCTTCGGGATTGATATGTTGGTCTTTCAGTCGGGCGTGGTTGTAGCACTACTGCTGATCACAATCTTCTTTGGTTGCAGCTCTCCCTCCAACCGCGATGGCCCCGAGCTCCGAAGGCCCAGGAGCTCCTACTGCAATCGGAGGATCGAATGAGGTTGCTCCAGCACCAGCTCCGGGAAGCTCAGGCTCTTCAAAACTTGCTGTATCGTCCCTGTTGTTGGCACTTGCTGCCGCATCGCTCTCTTTGTTTTGACTGAGTGCATTTTAGGCCTCTCTCTCTTTTTTGTGCTGAGATGAGAGGGAGAGTGAATGGGGGGAGATTTGACAGGGCATTTATTGTGTTTGGTTTTAAATACTATTTGCTAGTTTGGGTTGGGTACTCTAGTTAATACGGGCAGGAGGACGTCTTCTTACTTAATTGAGACTTGTTGAGCGGATAGGGCTTTTATTGTGTATTAATTATCTGGCTCTATTAAACCCCACGGATTTACGTTCAATTTCGCCTTCCTTACCCGGCCCCCTCCCTCCCCTGATATTCCAATTTCTGCTAATTTTCTTGCCGGATATGTTCATGGGCCTTCTTGACAGAAGAGGCTGACGGTATGCTCTGAACTGCGTGTCCAAAGACACACTGCATCTTGGGTCAAAGTCGTGTTTGGACCATCAGCAAGTCTGTAGAGGTGGAAAGTCTGTCAAAATTGATCCACAATAATGTCAGATCCAGGGTGTGGTCTCTCGCTGTTGCTCGAAACTGCGTTGGCAAATATTACCAGATTAAGAAGAGTTGTGAAGCAACGAAGGGTTCAAACATCGCATGCCTTCGCATTAGGGGTGTGACATGAACGAATTGAATCGAGTTCGAAATTTGGGGTTTGAGTTTGAATTTTATATGAGCTCAAAATTTAATTTTGACATCGATTTGATTTAATATTTGATGGGTTCAAACTCGACTAAAGAGTTTAAAGTTTTATTTAAACTCGACTATGTAATAAAAAAATAAATATATAATTTTATATAAAATATTAAGAAATATTTTAAATGAAAATATTTACAATTATTGACACTTGAATTGAGCCCTTAATCGAATCAAGTCTAAATGCCAACAGCCTTACCAAGACTTTAATTTTGGTGGGGGTTGGGCCGTTGGGGGTAATTTTAATTGAAAAGACTTTAATGTGGTGGGGTTGGGAGGTAATTTTAATTGAAGTGGCTTTCTCCGGTAGGATTTCACTCCCCTTAAATTAGATTAGAGTAGTAGGTTATAGAAGAAATTAGATTATAGCCCTGCTCTCACTTAGTAGTGAGCTTCAGGTTTTAAACGGTCACAATCTTCTCTGGTCAATTATTCTTTCTTGGGCTCTCCCGGTCGGGTTATTAAATCAACGGTCCAGAGTCTGCACTTTCATCGGAATTACTTGGCGAAAAGGTAGCATTTACTTGAACAGAAGTACAGATGAATGTATCAAAATGGGAAAATTAAAAAATAATTCCATTTCCTTCTTCTTCTTCTTTTTTTTTTTTTTTCCTTTTTCCCGTTTACATGGAATTCAGAGCGAAAAACACATCGTGGATGGACAATTGGCCATGTTTGGGTTGCATTTTGTGCGGAAAAAATTTTGTGAGTTTCCATGAAAATATTCATTATCACATTTTCTGATCAACCTCTCTACCTCATACGTCCCACATCTTAAAAACGCAAAACACTGGATTGCATTTTTCTGAATTCTTTGTAGAAAAATTACTGTAGCGATTTAATATATGCGAGATAAAAAGGCGATTGAAAAATGTATTTACGAAAAACATAACAATTTTTCAAAGAAAAACTGCTTTCCAAACAAGGCACAATATTTTTCTACAGGAACTCCCCACTCGAAGAAGCAAGAATGCATTGGCATCAAAGTCGACCGGCTCAAATGAACACTGCACCATTTGTTTCAACCCCGCCCAAGCACAGCTCACGGTTGAAACTTCTTGTATGGTAACTGAAGCATGTTCACACAAACAACTCCGAACTAGTTACCTTTGTGCAACGTTTCAGATTTCGTCATCGCATAAGCGTATAAACGACTGGTCATCCTTGGAATTCAGTGTACATCTTCTAATTTTGTTTGATACAATGTAGACGTTTTCAGCCCCCTCCCCCACCCCCAACACCCACCCAAAAAAAAGAAAAGAAAAGGGAGTGCCCTTGACCATGACGGAAATGAAGTGACAAAGGTGCTTTTAAGGCTCCATCTTGGGGGCAAAGGTGATGACAGCATCTGCTACTGTGAGGAAGATGTTGTCTTCCCCGATCAAGGTAGTAAAGTCGGATGCATGCAGCTTGTCCGCTACCACTGGTCCAGGATTTGCTAAAACCAGCTGTTCATGTAGTAGAATGTATTATATAACGTAAAATTCTTCTCAGCTGGACATTTTTTTTTTTATCAGCACCATAATATGAAATGGCTAACCTGAATATCTTTCTTTCGAAGACTATTGTGCAACTCTTCTAAGGCATGGATTCCGCTGGTGTCAATATCTGTAACAGCTGCACACGACAATTAACACATAAAAAAAAAAAAACATATTATTTGTTTAGTATTTCTCCTCCGAGTATCAAAAGTCCTGCTAGAACGGCGTAACCAAGAAGGCGCTTACGTGACATTTCCACAATCAAGCAATGAATTTTAGACTTGAGCTCCCCATTTTCTTTCAGCTGTTCTTCTTCATCACTCAGCCATCTTAGTATCCTGCCAAAAAGGAAAAAAAAAAAGTTAATTATATTCTCATTGAGATCACACTTCACACTTGAAAGAATAATTTTTTTTAAGTCGAAAAAGAGAAAAAAAAAAAAAACAAAAAAGACTACCCCTTGACTTTTAGTAATCATCTAGGAAAATTCTGAAACGAAACGTTATCCTTAACTATATGTAAATTTTCATAGATGTGACTTAACTTGAATGAGATGTGCCCGCCTCCCCCCAATGTGAACGAAGATATATGGTAGTAAGCAATAAGCATCTTTGACTATGAATTTTGCTTAAGACTACGTCAAACTTTGAGGCTTATGCTGCATTCGGGACCTAACTTTTGGTAGGGCAGTATTGATAACTGGTTTTGCAGAGAAAAAAAAAAAAATCAGTTGTTCAAGCTGCAAAAGCATGAGGTGTAAATCTTCCGAGGGTTGAACTTAGAATGCTGTCCAAAATAAATTTGACTAGTGGTACGGGCAAGAGAAGACAAGTCAGATACATAAAAGGGATAATTTAGAAACCTCCCTTGAGGTTTTCAATAATTTCATTGACCTCTCTTGAGGTTTGTAAAATTACACTAACCTCCCTCAAGGTTTAGATTTCGGTAACAAAATTAGTCCAAATCAGAAAAATTACCATTAAAAATGTATTTTGTGAAGAGAGATAAACTTTTATTCCATAAATGCCCTTATGCTTGTGTACAAGTTGTATTGTAAAGGAGTAAAAAATATATTAATAAAAGCGTGGAAAGGTAAGCACAAATAATAAAGAACAAAAAATAAGTAGCAACTGACTTTCTCAACAAAGTTGGACCAACGGCTAGTGCATTCTAAATGGACCAACGGCTAGTGCATATATTATAATGGATATTTTTTCAGATCTTCACCATTTTGCATATAAAGGAAACAAGAAGGATTAAGATGGATCTCACTTTTACTTGAAGCAGTAAAAGTTGATGTGTAAAAATAGTGATTTTATGTGGATTTCGCAAGCTAAAGGTGAAGTATATGTATAGAAACTATGAAAGACATGTCAAGCTATAGAAAGAAATCATAAAATCCACCCACATCCTTTAGCATGAAAAAGAAATATTGCAAGTGTAGTCCCAAGGCAACTGCGAAGATTTTTTAGAGTACGAACAGTCCAAAAAAATTACTATTTGATGTATCGATTTGGTGTATCAATTTCTGAGAGAAAACAAATATTTGGTACATCAATTGGTACTATTTTGTTATTACAAGTTACTGTTCATCATTAAAAAAATTTCGACAGTTATTTTTGTTAATTAGTTACTAACAGTTAATTAGTAACCTAATTACTTAACTGCTAGATGTTAATTTCCAATAAGTCATAATATCTTAGGGTATGTGAGTAATTTTTCCCAATAAGACACTATAGGGGAGGTTAGTGTTATTTTGCAAATCTCAGGGAGGTTTCTAAAATTATCCCTATATGAAAATCTCCATTTTGCACATCCTAACTTGTATTACTTTTTCACTTTGTACTCTAAATTTCAATTTTAAACACTTTACACCCTAAACTCTTAATTTTGAATATTTTGCACCTTAAAACTCAAATTTGTCTAATTTAAATCCAATCAATAACTATGTTCGCAAAATTAACGAGATGAAGGGCAGAGAAAATTAATGACAGTGTACTATTTTGTTCCAACCATGATTCCTTAGCTTTTTTTAACCATGTTTTAGTACATTATTATTTATTTATATGGTTTAAATTAATAATATTGTTAGCAAAATTAACAAGATAAAAGATAGTGTAAATTAGTGATAATATATTGTTTTATTTTTGTTATGATGTATTGGCTTCTTTTGATTACTTTTGGCACGTTATCATTGATTTGATGGGTCCTCTATAACGTTAATTTTATAAAAATAGTTATTGAATGGATTTAAATTAGATAAATTTGAGAGTTTATGATATAAAGTTTCCAAAGTTCGAGAGTTCAGTGTGCAAAGTGTTCAAAATTGAAATTTTGGATGCAAAGTGCAAAAGTCATTCAAATTCGGGAGTGCACAGTAGAGTTTGCCCAAAAAAGAAAGGAGATCATCCGTACCTCTCCCTGATATAGTTGGAGTTGGAAAAGTAAATTGCAGAATCAACTCGGACGATTAGAATCCCAGGAACCTTAGCTGCCTCTGGATATTGTTGTATATTTCTGTACACATTTGTTCTTGGGACTTTTCCGAGTACCGCAGTCCGAGGCCTCGTCACTTGGAGGAGGATTTTGGCAAAAGATATTGCGACCTAATTCATGAAATGCAGCCGGCAAAAATCAGCACTTCTATTTTAATAAGATTGTTAGGAAAAAGCAGAAATCATCTTTACCGCAATCAAGAGACCAATCTCAACCGAGACAAAAACCACACCGAAGAAGGCTCCCATGCACGCAATGAAATCAAACTTGTCAATCTTCCATATCAGTAACATTGCATTAATGTCGATTAGTCCAACAACAGCGGATATAATGATGGAAGCCAGTATAGCATTTGGGGTGTATTTGAACAGCGGGGTGATCACTTCTAGAGTCAGCAAGACAACCAAAGACATCACGATATTGGAAACAGCTGTGTTACAACCTGCCATATAATTCACTGCAGATCGCGAGAAAGATCCTGCAAATTAAAATGTCGAGTTGCGTAATCAGAAATTAGGTGAAAGCATTAGGGTGTCATGTATTCTACTTTATAAGATATGAAGATTAGTTCAATTTTCAACAAACCTGTGGCAACATAACACGATGTCATGGAACCAATAACGTTCATCGTTCCTAATGCTACCATCTCACGGTTTCCGTCTATATGATAGTCCTTCATTGCTGCAAAAGTTCTTGCAATTGCCACAGCTTCCTATATCCGATGCAGTATTCATTGGAAACCAGCTTTTCATAATTAGGAGATGTGGAGAAATTAAAGAATGCTCTTAAATGTTCCAGTTTTGTTGCTTACCGTCAATGCTATCATTCCAGCCACGACCCCAATCCTGAAACCTTTACCAAGATTTTCTCCAGTGAAGAAGATCTCATGGACAGAAGATGGATTGATGCCTTTTTCAATCTTGTTTACCTACCAAGTTTTATGGAGAATACATTGTCAGAGAAGCTTTAACTTTGTATTTGAAAATTGTCATCGTCCAAATTATGCCTGAAGTACTCACAATTTGGACTCCCTTCTTTTCAGCATGGGTGATATAAACAAAGAAGGTTGAAATGATCACAGAAATCAACGGAGCGATGGCAGACACCCAAAAGAGTTTCTTGTTTTTTTTCCCCTGATCCAATCGAAATTTTTGAGAAAGAAAATAATAAAATTGTCAGAATCTGTTCTCCCATGACAAAAGTTGGAGCTAAATCCACGGAAAGAGAAACAAAACGAGCGATTCTTACGATGTACTTTGCAAGGAGAAGGAAAGCCAAGAAAGCGACTCCTATTACTACAGTTTCCCAATTCCACTGTTATAATCAAAGACGAACAAATTAGCTTCTCCATGGATGCAAAAAGAATGCCGATCAAGTTATAACTAGGAGAAGGTCTCACCCCATGATGTACACTAGTCCAAACAGACCGCATCACAGAAACAATATCGGTTTTCTTTGTGAATTTCTTAATGCCAAGCAGTCCTTTAAGCTGCTGAAGAGCTATGGTTATGGCTGTACCACCCATAAAGCCAACAACGGCAGCATGAGACAGGAAGTCAATCAAGAAACCCAATCTGCAAATCCAAGTGACAATTATTTCTCAGGGTATGTCAAAAAAGGAAGATATATATGGATGTTGGCTCGTCAGAAGTACCTGAAAAAGCCAAGGGCAAATTGAGTGAGTCCAGCAAAGAATGTGGCTGTAAATGCGAGACGCTGGTAATCTAATTTTTGTTTAACAGGATCGAACTCATCCTGAATCAAAGTTCCAAGCAAGAGAGACACCACTGCCACCGGGCCTATGGCAATATCTCTCGAGCTTCCCATGGCTGCATATATCAGTGGTGGCACGAAGCTGCTGTCTGTAGAACAAGAAGCAATACCATTGAAAAATCCCTCAAATTGCAGATGATCGTGAGAAGTCAGGTTGCTGAGTATATATATAAGAAACTTACAAAGTCCATATTGCGGTGCCAAATTTGCTAGTTTTGAATAGCCAATGTCCTGCACAGAATATCAAGAATTTTTAGGTTGCCAACTGACAAAGATGCTCTACAATAAATAAGAGTCATATGAATCTCCTACCTGAGGAATGCAAAGACTTGCAATGGTAAGTCCAGCAATCAGATCACCTCTGAATTTGGAAAGGCTATAGCTTCTTCCCCAATCAAGAATGGGAAAAACAGCTTGTAGTCCGAGGAGTAACTTTTTTGAGTTTGATTGGTCCTTGAAAGAGCGTAAAGGATCATCATGCATGAATGTTTCCTTGAAAGTTGTTTTAAACTCAGTAAACAAATTCTGCTTGGGAGGCACTCCCACTTTGTGGACGTATGGCAAGTTCTCTGGATGTTCATGTGAGTGAGCGTCAGCAGGTAACTCCATATCTGTTACCGGGAGCGCATCAGTAATCCGGTTGCTCATTTAGGTGGCCACAGTGATGACCTGCAAACAGAACTTGAGGAAGAGAATCAGAGGGACTTGTAAGAGATGCAAACATTTCATACTTAGTAACTACATGTCAAGAACTATGCCACTTGTCTTGTTTCTTTTTGAACTTTAATAAATGGCTAAACTTTTACAAACATCAAAAAGGGCACATTGATTCTCCTCCTATCCCTCCCTACCGGAATATATTGTTGTCTACAATGACAAAGAACGAAATCAAAGCAGAATACCTTATGCACAGGAGGACTGCTCAAGGCAGAAGAACAAGTAGTTCTTCCAGAAAACTATGAGTTTAAATAAACTAAAATGGGTACGCGGATATGAAGGGACATGCAAATTTTAGTGCTTATAAAAGCTACAAGCAAGTAAAGTCAACTCTCTGTAAATACAGGGCAACTTGTGCTGATGGGCAGGAATGAACCTAGATGTTTTTCCTGTACCAAATGCAAAGAGCAAAAGAGGATACGTTTTGAAGGAAGTAATTAATCAAATGGTGGAAGAAATAACAATACGCAATTATTGAAGAATATAGTAATCAAATAGACATGATTAATAAGGAGTTCCTTTAAACGATAGCTTGGAAATTAAACAGTTGACTTTGATGTCTGCGCTTCGTTTCAGATATTGAATTAAATAACCTACTTTATCCATACAGTCTTGTACTACAATTTTGCGTCAATTGCCTATCTGATTACCCTAGATGAGCCAATCCAGCGGAGAATGAAGCAAAATTCCATTCCATAACGTTCAACTGCAAGAAATTCATTATCCAGTCGGTCAGTTACATAAAAGAGAGGGTGTTGTGGGGTGAGAGAGAGAGAAACCAGGAAGAGCAACCATTTGAACATTGATGCTTAAGCATACAAATTTTGAGTTGCATTGCAAGTGGAAAAGAAATATCTTGCCGATCAAAACTTTCCCCAAAATCCTTGATTTACAGGCTGAATGGACTGTCATCGACCTTAAAAGAAAATCAAGGAAGATTCTGAAAGAATTGGTGATCAGAGGAAGGCAACTCTTACAGATTTATCCTCACTCAGTTAAATATTGTTTGTAACGCATGGGTGGGGTCTGAAGCTTCACCTGCGGATCTTAACCAAGAAAGAGCTTTGCAACCAGGACAAGCAATAATCTAAGTCGATGAAGTCTGATTTGGTAGATTAATTATCAAGGAATACACTATGGGGTATACCCAAAAGTCAGTCATTACAAGAAAATCATAGTCAAATAAAAAAAAGTATATGTTCCCAAAAAGCACTAACCAAACTGTTTTGCCCTTGACAATTCGTGGCAAGCGGAGAATATGGATGTGAAAACGAAGAAAGATCAAGATGCTAATAGCTTTGCATTCCTGGACGTACTTCATTCATCCTCTTACAAGTCTAAACAGGCAACTACTAGTTTAAACAACTGAACTAAGTAACTAACTACTCCTACCTTTTTTGAACCCCAAAAAGGCAAAAAGATCTTTTGTTTTCCTGTTTCTAACTGATGAATGCTTATCAAATTCGAGCGTTGATTACCGGAACTACAGATTCCGTCCAAGCCGAACCCAACCAATGAAAATGAAGTGCAACCCTTCTAGTCGCCACACATATTCATTTTCCAAGTCAAACGAAGACTTCACGCGAAAACCATCCCCATTGGGTGGTTGTTCCCATCATTTGTCTGACTAGGAAAAAGAAAACAAAAACCAAGAAACAATAATATACACAAATGTCTGTTTACTTGTAAGATTAATATAAAATTGCAACTGTTACGTTGCACTTCAACATCTTATTAAAATAGAGCCAGAAAAGAATATAAGAAGAAGTATATAAGCTGTGGAGCATCATTCATCAGTTAACACGTGTGTACTTACCATATTTGCCTGTTGCTGATTACGAAGAACAACAACGAAAACAACTCAGAGATGAAGAGTTTAAATATTCAAGCGAAGTTTCGCAGTCAGGAGAGGTCGTAGAAACGATTCTGAGCCCATTTTGCGTCCAGGTTCAATGGATTTTAGAGCGTTGAAAGTTTGCGCTGATTCTCTGCTTCTTGTTTATTGCAAAGAGTGATGAGAGTTGTACGTGGAATACAGAGATGACGAGTGCCCTGAAGCTGAAAATAGAGAAGAAGACCCCGGCCGAGAGCTAATTAAGTCTGTGAGGTCGGTGTTTTTTTTCTTTAGCATGTCTAGTACTCAACTGGTATTCTCAAACACCTCCTCTTATATTCATTTTAATTCGCAAGTTGAGGTTGACATCTTGACATTCAGAAGGCGGAAAAAAATAGTGAAAATGTGGAAATCAATTACTATAAAGTATGTAAATATGGTAAGAATTTAACTGGACCATACAAAAGCATTTGTTCTAGAGAGTTGGCTTTTGGATAGGGGTGTCAATCAGCTTTTTTGAACCGGATTTTAGGAAATCCAAACTCGGCATACAAATTATATGAATTTTTGGATTTTAAACTTTTGGATTTCGAGCTTATATTAATGGGCTCATATCAAAAGGCTCAATCTCAAATCACGCTATTGTATGAGTTTTGGGTTCAAGTCAGGAGCATAATTTTAAAATTATGATATTTTAAAATTGCAACAATAGCCGCTTAATATTTTCATATTTTGCCCCCATTTTGACCCCAATATCTTAATTCTCATTCAAAGCAAAGTAGTATTTTTTTTTTATGTGTTAACAATTAGACTTTTTGATATAAAGTGAAAATTAGTCTATTTAAAGTAGTAATCTTTCCCACCAAAATGGTATTTTTGTTAGGATTAATATTCTATATACTGACAGTGTATATACTTTTACCATTAGATACATGACACATTATCTAAATTTGAATTTGAAACCTAAATTTTGCATATATGTTATGCATCCAACCGTGATAGTATATATAAGATTTGCTCCTTTTGTTACTTTAGTTTTTAATGGAGAATAAATTGGTCATTTCATTAATTACTTGGATGAAATTAATTTTTGAATTATTTTTAGTTGACAAATGGTGTAAAGTGCCTATTAAAATACTTTAGAGTGTAAAGTGAAACTAGTATAATCGTTCGTTGGGGTTTTATACATTTAGTCCTTATCTATAATATATATTTTATAATTATAAATTAATACAAATTTATATGAATTATTAATATTTTATGTCGTAATATTTATAATTATAATTTATAGATATTATTATATATATTTTACATATGTAATTATATTCATATATAGGCCGAGCTTTAATCGAGTCTGAGCCTAATACAACTCAACATCGGCTCATATTTAGTTCGGATCTAATATTTAGATCCAACTTCTGTCCGACTCAATTAAAATTTAGACTCAATGAGCTTTTTTCAATCGAACGGATCGAGTTCTGGTTAATCCAACCCCATTGATAGTTCTAGTTTTGGATTAGAGGCAAGTATGTTAGAATTAGGAAATCACTCATTAATGTTGATATCAATTTACGTGGTGGGGATTTACCACATTATCTGCATTAATGTTCTAGTCTATCATTTATGTAGAACAATCCTCACGCATTTGTTAAACATACACCTTTTTTAAGGGTTTTTATCAGTTTACCTTCTTAAACTATATCCCAACTATCAGTTTAGTCCCTAACGTTAACTTTTAGTCACTTAAGTCCTTGGACTAACGGTCAAATGAGAAGGCATTTTATAATTCACGTAAAAAGACATGTTTAGATCCAACTTAATTATAAATGGACAGATATACCCATAAATTACCCTGTTAATATGTGAGAATTGCTTCAATCTGGAAAAACTCGCATGTTCTTATAATTTGGAAAATTATGAAAAGAAAAGGACCACTAGGGAAAATTTTTTTACTAACATATCACTTGAGAAAAAATAGATCTTATAATGGAATAACTATAAAATTTTCCTTCTAAGATTGACTTTGCTTGATGACGTGCAAACAGATTATGAAATTCTACACTTCGATATCATCATATTTGCAATATCTTGACAAGGTATTGCGTAAAATAAAAAATTTTGTAAACAATTTAAGAAAATAGAGGAGAGAAAAGCCTTCTAATCCTTGTTTTATACTTAAAGCATAAGGAGAGGGTATTTTTTGTCATAAAATTTTTCACCAAACTTTAGTTAGTTAGCAGGGCAATTTATGGGTATATTTGTCCATTTATAATTAAGTTGGATCTAAATATCTCTTTTTACGTGAATTATAAAATGAGATTTTTATCAGTTTACCCCCTTAAATTATACCCCAACTATCAGTTTAGTCCCTAACGTTAATTTTTAGTCACTTAAGTTCTTGGACTAACTGTTTGACCGTTAGTCCAAGGACTTAAGTGACTAAAAGTTAACGTTAGGGACTAAACTGATAGTTGGGATATAGTTTAAGGGGGTAAACTGATAAAAACCCTACACCTAATTGTCCTACCTTATCAGTGCTATTTTATAACCTATGTGATGCGTCGCATAAGAAGATTTATCCCTAGTATTTTGTCTTTTGTTTTGTAAAATTACAAGAAGTGTAAGAATTACAACTCGGTGCTCAACCGTGAGAGAAGAAACTCACATATACTAATAATTAAATTGAGGATCTTTTAATTTTTTTTGAAATCTCAACCTTGATCCTTGGATCAAGATCAAGTATTTGACTATCTTCAGTAAGTAAACATCTAGCCAAAAACAGAAGAAAAATGTTATTCGCGCTCCATTTTGTATTATTTGCACTCTCACCATATATTTTATCATATCATATTGTCTAATAAATAAAAATTATATAATTAAAACAATAGTGGAAGTGTGATTAATACAATTAAGAGTGCATCTTACCCTTATTTCTGAGACACTTACCCACATGCATCTTACCCCCCCATATAATTTTTCAAATTGCCACACGTAGAAGTCAAATTTGCAACCTCTCGTTAATTTTTTTTTTTTTGTATAAGCGGGAGGACTCGAACCCGAGACCTCTTGTTTACACTCCCTCTCCCGTATCACCCAACCCAACCCTCCCCCCATTAACATTAACAACCCACATCTTTGTTACATTTGAATGATACACAATTCCGATCATGACATTAACAGATGCATCGGTTACCTGTTAAGGAGCCCTTAATATGTGAACCTTTTAAAGTGTGAAATTAAATATGAAAAATATGTAAATGCAAGAAGAGGAATAAATATGAATCCATGAAATAATAGATTAAAACGTAAATTAAGGGTATTAATGACTGTCTTCTTTGCACTGATTAGAAAGATAATAAATCTCACCCTGTTGTAGCATTCTCGAGTTAGAACTTGCAAACTCAGTACCCAGACGAAAGCTACAATGGTAGATTTCCAAAGCATAATCAATTTTGCATTTGGATTTTTTGTTTTGAACACTCTTAGCTGGGACTAGGAATGCTACAGAATATCGATAAAATAATAGAAATAATTTGTGACTTTGTTGACATTGCTGTTGTGATCCCATTTAGGCATTTATTTATACTAGTGAGACGCCCTGCGCGTTGCGCAGGAGAGCTAATATTTCCCATGTTAAGTTGCACAATTTTTAGTTATTGTGTAGTTGTTATAGTGTAGAGAATTATATAGGTGGTATAAGCTTGGTTTGAATTAGTTCAAATTATATAGTGTTGATATTTTGTATGATATGATTAGTATAAATTATGTGGCGTGGGTTAAGTGATTACAAAGGTGGGAAAAAGTATAGCTGAAGTTACAAAGCGAAGGAAGTGTTGTTACATGCATGGAAGTCAGTCCACAAGATAGTTATATGCATAGTTGGATTGATAGTTACATGAAAGTAGAACAAAAAGATTGTTACATGGATGGAAGTCAGTCCATAAGATATTACATGCATAGTTGGGTTGATAGTTATATGATAGTGGAACAAAAGTGCATCTGGAATTGATTTCATTAGAGTAGCAATGTTAAAGAATTGCGTTGAGTTTGTGAACAATGTTATTCATTGGATTTTATTGGGCTATGTTTATTAGAGTAGCAATGTTAAATAACTGCGTTGAGTTTGTGAACATTTTAATTGTATTTTATTTAGATTATATTGGATACACTTGAACAAGTTCATCGTCAAATATCTGAAAATGTATATTTGTTCAATCCTAAGTGAGTAAATATGACAGTATAGTCTACTTTAATTACATTAAATTTTGTCAACTTTTTCCATCCATTTGTTAAATAATTGTCCTCAACTTTTATGTCCCAAGTCTTTTGTTGACAATAGAGCACAATTATGCTATCTTTATTTGGTAGAATATGGAAGGCATCATTTTGGATGTAATTCCTGTCATAAAAAGATGTGAAATTTTTGTAAGAATATTGATACACTGGTATGCTAAATATTTTGTGTAGTATGAAAATTACCAAATATTCTATATCTGATGGCCGTATTGCCACATAGAATTGAAACTTTTTGTTAGTAGTCCTTCTGTTGGGCAGAATGTTCCAGCAGTTTTCTTGGATGACAATTTAGGTTGATAAATTGTGTTTAATTAGAGAGTAATGATTTTGTACCATACCGTATTCGTTCTGGCCATAGTCTTGGGCTGGTAAAATGTTCCATTCATAGAAAGTTGAGCAACGATTTGGAGCAAATATCTGCACTCGAAAGGCCATTACACCTATGTGAAAAAATTGGATCATGAAGTTTTCTTGTAGTTGGCGATATATCACACAGAAATTCTTTCTAGCCAGAATTTGCGGGACTTTCGTGTAATTTAATAAACCAAATTTTGTTTCCATTTTTTAGTATTGCTGTTCTTCGCATATGGTGTCCTATATGCGGCCAAAATTTGGCTGGTATGACCTGAAAATTAGTAGCAAAAGTAAGAAAAAATTAAAGTGGATTTTGATTTGCAATATATTTTGTTGAAAATATTGATCTTACCACTTGCTCTTACCAATATATTTTGATCTTACCAAATATATTTTGGGACTTCATCAGCGTCTTGAGTTGCATATGTAAATGTGTTGTTTTTATTGTTCCATTAGAGTAGTTTTGTTGAGCGGTTTTGGAGTCTACAAAGAAAATGGGCTCCATTTTTGTTGTTTGGTTTTGTGGAGTTTTTTGCTTAATTTTTTGTGATTAACTGGGCTTTTGTTTTTGGAACTGTACTTCAGCGGCATTTGGTTGTCAGTATTCAAGACGTGACATTTCAGGGGTCCCAAGGTGAAGGCCGAATCAACATTG